ATAACTTCTAATAAAATCTTATATATAAACAATACAAATAAAGAAAATAAATAATATAAATAAATTATCTAAATAAAATAAAATAACTATAAAAATGATATATAAGTAAATCTATCAAACAAAATCAATATCTTTAATATAGTTAACCGATATATACAAATCATATATCGGCGTAAATCGTCTCATAACACCGGAAATCGACATGTACACAAATGTACCGAATTTCATCGGATCACCATATAATATCGGAAATCACATGCGCAAAAATTCGCGTAACAGTAGCGATAAAGTCGTTATGTTGCAAACGATTTAATTTTTTGCTATAGATTCGTCTAAATACTATATTAACAAATTTATAATTATTATTGATGCGTTCACCTCAATAAATTTGTATCATCATTCGTGTTCATCCCAATAAATTATTTATTATTAATCACTTTTGCATCTTGTACATTAACTTTATCATTTATATGTTCATCCCAATAAGCTACACTCCCGCGTCAAAAGTTTAGGACCACCCGGTAAATTTTTAAAAAATTGGTTTTTTTAATGAATCAACATATTTTTAAGCTATAAAAAAATCATTTATAATTACTTTAATGGATAAAGAACAATTATTTATTATTACTTAAAAATAATAAAATAAATTATCAGTAATTTCACTTTCGCACAGTCACGTGACTAATGTTTACATCACGTGATGTATCGAAAAAGAGAGAAAAAAATTCATATTGAATAAATTACATAGCAGAAACTTATGATTTTAAGACAACACTTCCACTATGGTATAACATCACAGTTGTAATAACGTGACAATGCATTGTACATTAACACAAAGTTGCAATACACTTATGACATTGTGACTGTGTTGTTAGATATATTGTAATAATACTGTAAATTTAAATTTTTTTTGTATTAAAAAATTATTTGTATTATTAAATTTCAGAGATGTCAAAATGTAGATATGATACTTGTAATTGCATAGTGATAATGATGATACTATACTAAATGATCGTCAAATAGTCATATTAAATTTTTTGTTTAATCTAGTACATTTTGGTAGTTTACGTCATAATGTCATATGTTTTATTTATTTATTTATTTATTTTATTACTAAAAGAGTAGTACTCCCAAAACTATTACAAAATAAGAAAAAAACATCATTTACATGATGGTACAAATAGGCGTGTATAGAATTTTGGAAATTAATCCCCTACGGGACCCCACCCTTCGAACAATACTATTCAAACTACTAGAACTACGCTAATACTTCGAATGGGGAAAAGAAAAAAAAAAAACCTAAAGACCCATCCGTAACGAGAGAACCTAAAAACAATTCAAACTAAAAAATAAGAATCCGTATTTTTCTTTCGACCAAGGTCGCCACTTGTAAATACTGTAAGAAGTGGAATGTTTCACACTATTTTAAGTTGTTTTTTGTTAAAATATATATAAAAAAAATTAAGTGAAATAAAATGTAGATTAAACTACTTGATAAGGGTATTTAACTCCTAATGTATAAAAATTACATATAAATAAAAAATTTTTCTGAATTAGTTGACGGTCCAGCTACTGTGGAGTTGTCTAATGTATCAGTAGAAGGACGAGGACGTTTGTTAGGATGTGATAAATTGTTGGAAATTGTATTAGTAAATCGAGTTGAATCGTGTTTGTTGGGTCGATGTTCTAAAATTTTAGTATCATCTGATAAGTCGTCTTGACGAGTAAGAGAATTGAATGTAAATTGTTTCAAAAATTTAGATAAATTTTTGTTAAGATTACGCTGTTTTCTTTCATTATTGATATGATCGGGGTGATTCTTGTCTTCAATATGACGGCGTATATATTCATCATAGCAATTCTGTACGGTTGTAAGTAAAAGTGGATCTCGTAAACGTGATCCTAAATGTTTGCGACTTGTACCATAATAAGCGGCCCTTGCATTATTATTTTGTTCTCGTAAATTCCATTCGGCTAGAGCTTCAGCCTGGAGTTAGCGATCATGTTCATCAAAACGTTGTTGTCTTCTGATTCTCTTTTCTAAATTGTACATATAAGTGAACCACTGTCTAGAGCCAGGTGGAATATAAGTATCACCTTCTTCAGTCAAAATGTAAATAGGTTCTTTTGGGATAATATCTCGGTATTTTAACGGGATAAATATGTTAGGAATAGGATTATATTCTTCAACCCAAGGAATCAAATCATCGAATGATAGTGAAGTAGAAGAAATGTGAATACGAGCCCCAAGATGATTCACATTCGCCTTGATTGTATTAGCGTGTTGGGAATTGTTTATATAAAAAGGTATAAAAAATTGGTAGTTGTCAGCATTCGGAGCAATGTTGTCCTTTTTGTATAATAAATGTTTGATTGGTTTGTTGATATGTCGTCGGGCTGGTAGTGTGCTCTCGCTAGCGCTCACCCCACCTCGGCCTCAAGGGCCTCGCAGTACCTACATCTCCCCTCCGTGGGGCAGGTTTACCTGCCACAGTACCATGGTCTGCCACGGTATTTTTCCACTTATTTTTTTTTCTACATTTTTTCTTATATATAA